TCATTTATCTGAGGCTGACAGTAGAAACATGGAGGTCAGACTCACCCTGTACACTTCCTTAGTCTCCAGGTTCCACATCTTGATGGTCATTCCCGCCGAGAGCAGCAGCTTTCCATCTGGACTTATACACAGGCTGCTGACAGCTGATCTGTCTGCCTTCCATTTGCTAAACACAGAACATGTCATGTTTGTTTGTAAATCAGATAAACAACTTCATGTTGAATAAAGCAAGAAACAACCCATATTGGCCAAACAGCACACACTCACCAACGAACTTTTCCTGTCTGCAAGTCCCACTCGGCTATGTGTGTGTCATCTGAGCCGCTGTATAACACCGAGTCTTCTGGATGCCACTGGACGCTGTTCACTGGTCCACTGTGACCTCCCTCCTGACAGTTTAAGACAATCATTAATATTCCTAATTTCACCTGTATTATCAGAAGTTTTTTTAGTTAGACACATTTTTTTCTCCCTTGTGTTATTACAAAACTATAGAAGCGACTTGGTAATGTGTGCCAGTTTGTTTGCCATTTAAAAGCAAACAGTTTTGCACCAAACCTAGGCAAAATCACTTAAATAATTGAGTTGCATCAGTCAAATATCATAAGGTCCAGCTGTTGGTGATGAATTCCTACCAGAGTACAATGCAGGTCTCCCTTCACTGTACTGTAGATGAGGACCGACCCAGCAGCAGTGCCCAGCGCCAACAGATCTGACAGCTCAGGTGCCAACCCGGCCTCACATTTCCTCCTTTTTCTCTGTGGCACATCCTAAAGCACACACACAAAGAAAAAAAGTAACATTATAAGACAAGTCGTGCTGCCTTTTAGTTAAGTCCTACAGGAAAAATAACAGTTAGTCTAATAAATGCGTACTAGTTTCCCTTCAGTTTGTGCTATGAAAACTGGAACAGATAACAACTATTTGCGTAGATACAACAAGTAGGCCTACTACTATCAGCTAATAACAGCAAATCTTGAACAGGTACCAGACCAACTGGAAAACATACTAGTGCCAAGTGAATGTTTGATATCGGAATCATAAACAAAAGAGAATTCCAAGTCAAACATTTGCTATGTTACTAGTAACAATGGAAGAATTACTTGTCACAGCTGTTTAAGGCCAACTTTCTCCAACACTATCCAGAATCAACGGCTTTTGCGTGTTATTAATACATAGCCTGACAGAAAAAAATTATTATTTGATAAACACTCTATTAAAGAGCAACAAGTTAAAGTTCACGAGTAAGTTTTGTACAGCCATGTGACTATATGTTAAGTCTCTTTAATACATCTAAATACAACACTGATTATTAAAAACGAAAAAAAAAATTGTATCATGCTAACACAGACATGTTGACATGATTAATCAACACCTTAGCCCACATCAACTTATTCTACCTACGTTATTAGCCACAGACAACCAACAGACGAATATAACAATGTTTACAAGCCCTTAAATGGGCACGCAGCTGCACTTTTGGCATCAGTGTAGTGATTTCTACAGGTTTTATGTTGAATTTCGAGTTGGATCTGCGGGTCTCGCGGCCTGTGTCTGAACATGTGCCACACGCAACATGTGCGCAGCGCTCTCCGCGAGCGCAGCTCTAAAGCACCCAAAATAGATATTCCTAAACAATCTGTGTTTAGTTTTATGATCACATTCAGGATAAATACAGAGCCAAAGCGACCCGAAAACCCTATGATGATGCACTGCGTAACAACAGGCCGCATCCCCCGAACACTGTACGCTACCTGAACAGCTCGGCACGGTCCCCATGTCACACAGGTACAGGCTGCGCTCAGGTGCGCGGAAGGCACGTATTCCTGTTGTAGAGTTTTGCTGTCGGTATTCCAGATGCGCAGTCTCCCGTCCTGTGCGCAGAGAGCCAGGAACTGCTGTGATTTAGGGCTGAAGACGCAGGGTAGCGCAGCTCGCCCTCCGTCCGCCGCCATCTTACCGCGTGCGTCCGTCTGCTCACGAAACACGTGTGAGAGAAAATTGGATAGCGCGCATGCGCAGCTGCACAGGCGCAGGGGCCACGTTAATTGGCCCCGATGGGTTCTAGGGGCGTTCCATTATTGTTATTAACCAATCACAGAGGGATGTGGAAGTTTCATGGTCGAGTTTTGTTATCTAGTAAGTTAAGCCTGTTAGTGGAATTTGAAAGTGAAAATTGTCTTTGGGAGTTCTTATCAGATGCATATCTGAAGTGAATACGTTTTAGTATAAAGTATAGTATAGTATAAACTTCACTTTAAAGTGCCATTATACGCACCTACTATCAGTGTAAAACTTTAACTTAAAAATAAATAAATACATACATACATAAACTCACCAAAATGTTCATTCTGTAACATTTACTGTAAACGGCTGCACATTTATTTTGTACCTGTAATTATTCGAAAGACATTGTGGGTCATATATCTTTATGTATATTTAAAGCTTTAATATATATATATATATATATATATATATATCTTCATGTGTATTTAAAAATAATTTCAGTTGTTGTTTTAACACTGGCTTTCACACAATGAATATTATAAACACTTAAGTTAATGTCTGTTTGACCTTGTTTAAGTTTAAGCACACCATAAAGATGCTTCAAGACTTCCTCATTACTCTGACCCCTAATAACATCTTTTCTTTTAAAAAGCGAGACCAATTAAGAATTTTTATTTTTGAAAATAATTTTTTATTAATTATTATTACTTTTTATTTTATATAAGGAAATAATATCCTAGACTAATCATATAAGCCTCATAAATAGTTATATTTTCTTCTTTTAACGATCTGTGTTATAAGGAATGTTGAATCAGGAAAATAACAAAAGCCTGTAATGATAAAAAGAAGAAAGAAACCATCTACTGGTGAGCAGGCTGTACTGCATCTGTCAGTGACGTCCTTTCCATCATGGCGGCGCCCTGCGAGAATCATGCTTGCACTTGTTTTTCTTCTAACAAAATGGACTCAAGTTCATTTGCCACTTGAATTAGTATCTAGCCAGAAAATAATTATATATCGAATTACTTGACAGGTCGTTTGAAATGATCTATTTACTACCAATTTGTTTGACTTTGTATTTTACAACGGTTATTGAATAGAGGTAATTTGTACTGAATTAGCCTATATAATGCATGATTTGTCTGTCTATTCTGTTCAGTGTAGAATCGCTCAAGTAGCTGCGGTGTGTTTTTTCTGTTCACTGTGTGGTGAGAAGAACAAAGCCCTCAAAGTGTCATCTTCATCCTTCAAGTCATTCTCTGTGGAGGCTAAAAACCATGACAGTTCCTCCACATTTGGGTCTTTCAATCATGACTTGTAAATTTGCCAAAGCCAGTGTCATATGTTTGGAGAGACAATGTGGTTCGCATTAAACCATCTCTCTGTGGTCTGAGAAACTTTGGGACTGGCCCAAATGATTCCGACAGAGACGAGAGTGGTTCAGATGCTCCTGCGTCCACTTTCCCACAGTTCTCCCGAAGAGCTTCTGTGTTTGGAAGGCGTCAACCTCTGTCCGTAACTTATTCCAAAATCCATTAAAAATGCAATGCATACATTCAATGACTTGAACACACCGTTCCTAAAATGAACATGCTTTTACTTTCTTTATTAAATTAATTCGGGTGTTTGTTTTTGTTTAGTTCAGGTTGTAAAATGTTTTGTGGTGGGAAACTCACCAAAATATTTTTATGTGTTTATGAACTAATAATTCATGATATTTGTAAAATAACTTGAAAAATAAAAATAATATATCTTGGAAAATATATTTAAAATCTATTTTAAAAAGCCTTTTAAATTGTTACAAAAATATATGTTAAATAAATGTTTTTTTGTTTTACTTTCTATTAATCAAAGAATCCTAAAAAAGGTATTATGGTTTTCACAAAAATATTAAGCAGCACAACTGTTTTCAACTGTGATAACAGTAAAAAATGTTACTTGAGCATCAAATCAAATCAAATTGTAGTTACATTTCATATAATGTACATGCATTTAAGGTGTTGGGAAAAAAAATCAGAATTCAGAAATCATTCTAATGCTGATTTGGTGCTTAAGAAATTTCCTATTATTGTTAATGCTGGAATCAGTTTTTGCAGATTAATATTTTTGTGGAAACCATGATACGTTTTTTTCTTTTATGTATAAAAAGTTCAAAAGAACAGTATTTATCTGAAATAGAAATCTTTTGTAACATTGTAAATGTTTTTACTGTGGCTTCTGATCAGTTTAATGCACACTTGTTGAATAAAAGTATTCATCATCATCCCCCCCCCCCAAAAAAAACATTTTAAAGGGTGAATTTTCAATGTTTTCCTGACTTTGTCACCAGTATCACACAGGTCATTGATCTGATGGAAGGTCTGCGATGCTCTGCCCTTCCTCTGATGTGTGAACGCATTGTTGAGGTTCAGTACAGGGATTGGATTGTTGGCCCGTCACTCAAAAAAAGATGGCACATTTAATGTGATTCAAATGAAGACACAAAAGGTGAATTCTTTCATAAAATGGTAATTTATCTAATGTTTACATAGTGCTTACCTTTTGTTTTACTTCATAAAGGAGTCACAGATTGAGTGCTATTACACAAAAATCCAAACATCAGTGCAAATTATTCACAGATAGAATTAAATCATACTCTATTTAAGGGGATTTGAATTGTCAAGATCCGGTGGCGTTTGGAGATGTCCCGTACATTGCACGTCCTCATCCTGAACAGACTGGCCATACTGGTGAGTTATCTCCGTATTTTTTGTGTGTAGTTCAATGTTTAATGAGAAACACTAGTAATCCTAAACCACTTTGTATGTGATTGTGCATGAAGGTATTTTTAAGAATCCAATTGAAATGTCTGATTTTGTTTCTTTTCAGCCTTCCTCGTAAAATTACGAAAGATCTTGAAATAGATGTTCCACATTTAATGTATGCAAGAGGACAACAAAGCTACTGTGTCATATGCTGTATTAATAAACTTGTATAATAAAAAGACATTTAATTGCATTTTCCTTTCATGCTCTTGTGTATTTAAGCCAAAATATAGTGAATCTATCTGCTCCATTCATGGACTAAATTTCATAGGTGTTTATTCATATTTATATCAGCCAGATGTTATACTTATTTAAGACACAGACTTAATAATCCTGCCATGTTTAACTCCTAAACATTTCATTCACACTTATGTCTAAGACATAAGAGAGTAACAAAGTGCGCACTAGAGAAATAGCAAAGTACTTTGCACAACAATTAGAAATAAATAGTGATGAGGATTATGATACAGTAAAATACATGTACGAACCTTCACACAATATTTTCTGACATATTCTTTACATCTTAAATGAACAATGTACATGACTATTACCCTATTCACACCAAAGCTGTACATTTCTCAGGTCAGTTTAGAGACTGAAATTCTTTTGTGGCCCTCAGACAGCTGAAATGCCTCTGATATGGTCAACAGGCATCAATGATCTGTTTGCTGTTATGCAATCAAGCTACTCCTCACTGATCCAGTCCATTGAATGATCTTGACATGCATCTCTTCCTGTAAGCATGCCTATAAAAAAAAAGAAAAGCCAATGGTAAATTTACAGAGGCACTGATATGGATCATATAATTTCAGCTGAGGCTAAAGAAAATGTACCAAGCTATCATGAAAAGTAGTGGCACACACCATAAATTTCTGGTAACACCACTAGAGGACGCCACACACTCATTTACCTGATTTAGTCTTACAATTACAGGTGTGCTGAGCTTTCGTCTTCTTACTAGGCCCATGTGAAGCTTGGGCCTTGTGTGCAATGGCCTCCAGTGGCACAGATGAAGAGTGGGCTCCAATAGAGAATGGACGAGGCACAGGAAGAGCAGAGGTCTTGGCACAGAGAAAACAAGGCTCTGGCGAAGCAGAGGGCCCGCGGGGAATGAGGATCTCCTCACGGTTATGGTACAGTCTCTGAGCTCCACTGTGATGCTCTGCACGCTCGCGCTGCCAGATGAAGTGAGATGGCACAATAGCCATTACCTAAAATCATGCATCAAGCACAACATGATTGAGCCATTTTCCAGAACCAGCAACCTATAAAATGCTTTATAGTGCATGTTTAGTGAACTGCGTACCTCCTCACAGCATTGTCTGCTGACAGCCGCTCTGTACTCTATGCGTGCCCACAACTGGTCTCTTTGTTTTAGGAATCGTGGGAAATGTTTCCTCCAGCTCTTTCCCAGAGCCCAGGGGAAGATCTCATATTTGGTTTCCTCCTCATCCTCTTCCATAGTGTTTGCCAGATAGCTAGAGTATGAAAAATTGAGCACTTGGACTGTAGGAATTAAGGCTGTATTCATTAATAGGACTTTTCTGTCACGCTCATAACATATTGCAGTGCAACTGAAGAACTTTAAAATGAACAAATCCAAAACCAAGTGCAACCCCTATACACTGTAAATATAGAAAACTCTCAAGTTACCTCACCTCCTATAGTGAAAAACTATAAATGGTTTAACAACACATTATATGTAATTGTAATGTAAATACTGTGATATTAGTAAAAATATAGTGAAAACAGTAAAAAGGCATTCCTATTCGGATGTGTCCATTCATGACACATCACATATTTTATAGAAATAGTTTTGTTCATTAATTTGTTATTAGTAATGTAGGGTGTTTTATGTTATGTTTTGCATTGTTTTAAGTGCTTGTGAACTTGTAAATCATACAGACTTCCTGTAAAACTAGAAACACTATTGTATTGTTTACAGTGAATTCCTGCCAACCACAGCTGCCAGTTTTTCACCATAAATGCAATGTTTTTTATATA